TTAAAATTTGCACGAACCCAATCATGTGTAAACCCTCAATTACCAAATGTCTTGGAACCAGCCTATACTATCTTCTTTTTCTTAATTCCTTTAAAATAATATTATTCGGATTCCAACAATTACACTTATAAGGTATATATTATCAATAGATTAAACAAATTTTAAACAATACCTTCTTAATATGAAGTACGCAGAGAGTCTTCTCCAACCAGCAACCTCTATATTTATAGTTATAAGTACTAGATATAATGTATAACTCTAATATTAAAGAATATTAAAGGTATGTTAATAAAATACATCGAATTTTATACGTAAAATAAACGTCTATATATATAAATAAATATCCATAATGTGGTTGAAATTTTTAGATAATATTAATTATTTCGTTTCTCTTTATTAGGTCAAAAATATATGTAAAATTTGATGCTAAATAATTAAACCAGCTTGTATTTTAATAAAACAATGTTAGCTTAAAATATCACATTTGTAGAAAACTATACTAAATATGGTTTAAATATTATTTTTTGTTATTCTTCAGAATGTTAAATTTCTCGTTACTCTTTATAAGTTTTTATACGAGTACTTTCTAATTTAATGTTGAATGCTAATTTTATTAATAATAATTTTATTACAATGAGAATTTAGGAAAATGTATTATTGGTTAATTTTTCATTCCACCAATAAAAATATTAATTTTGTTTTATCTCGGAATGCATTAAATATTTTCTTATCTGGAGCTAAGTTGGTTTTAGGTGAGCCAACATGTTTCCTCTCCCTATTAGGGGTCAAGCCGAGATCGAGTATTGTGAAGTTCGACTATACTCGAAAATATGAAATGAAGTTCGATTCAAAAACCTACGAGTCTAAAATTTTCAAGCTTGACTCAAACATGAAATCATGAACTGAAGCTCGTAAAAGCTCGAAATGAAAAAAAAAAGAACTTGATTTGATTAAAGCCTCGAACTTGAATTTAAACCTAAACCTTAAATACATGAAACTTTATACTACATTTAAAAAAACAGCATAAATGTTATTGATGTAAATAATGTAATTTTAAAAAAATCTTAAAATATTATATTTTAGAGCCCGAGCTTTTCGAGTCAAGTATAAAATAACTTGTTTCGATTCGTTAAGAACTCAAATTGAGTATTTATTTAGCTTTGACTTAATTAATTTCGAGTAATTCACGATTTGTCACGTCTCATTTCCAGTGTTATTTCCAACGATCAAAAGCTCAAGATTCAGACGCGGAAGTAATGATGGTTTTGGGATTAGGTTTGAACAAAGACCTCTAATCACACGCACTGAATCTCAGATCAGAAGTTTCTACTATATGATTTCCAATCTGTTTCACTTTTTTCCTTTCAACATGATGAAGTAACTGCCAGTATTTGGTTTCTGTTGATGAAATCTCAAATCTGTGGTTTCTGTAGCTTGTGGTGGACAAACAGGACACTGATTGGGATATTATTTGTCTTCAATTGTGGGCAGACTCTTGCTCTCTTGTTTTCTATAGAGATTCCATAATTCAAACTTCAATCAATCAATAAAATCGGAATATATGAAATTCCTGTGCTCTCTAATCTGCGCAATCACGTGCAAATGATCCTGTTGTGCATCATTGGAGAAAACGAAGGAGATCGATCATAGTAAAGGTTAGTAGATGCTTCTTGGGTTTCATAGCATTAATTAGATGTTATTGAATTTCATAGCTCAGATTAGACGGAACACAGTAAGTTTAATGTATTTGCAAGCAATGATAGATCCGAGACTGGTTCCTAACTTACCTCGAGGTAGTAATCGCTGTAAATATATGAAGTTTACTGTTGGAGGTCTGAGTAGATTGGTGGCAGGCGCTCTACAAGACGAGTTTGTTTCTTATAGAACTCAAAGAGGACTTCTTGTTAGGTGTTATATCTTCAATAGGAGGAGGATAAAAAAAAAGCATGTAACATGCAACGAGGCCTTGTAATTTCCAGTTCAATTCACCTCTTAAAATAAGTTTTTTCGCATCCCAATTCATATATCACATATTTGGATTACTTCTTGTGTAGGCTTTTGATGAAAATTGAAAATCTAATTGAATAATTGTATGCCCGTAATCATAAGTGACCTCTTTTCATTTGGAGAAAGAAAAGGAATACAAAAGAGAAGGGAGAAATATATTACCAATTAGTGACAAGTCTTGAGCAAATGTTTTCTAGGAGTATTTAGAATTTTCAGGTGATTTAATATGCTGGAAGAATACCTTATCAGTACAATTTGTTTGTAAAACTTTAAATTTAGCATGCATTGAGAGTCAAGATGTCTGATAAAGTTGGAAGTCCTCCTAGTCTAATGATTCCTTCCGGAAATGTTTTGTCTTTGTAAATAGTGTCTACTCTAAATGCTTGCGTTCCAAATTGTCATTACTTTGCAGGCTGTAGCAGGATTCATGTCTCAAATCATGGAGAAAGCTGTTTCTTTCAACCCTTCACGGGTAGTGCTGACGGCTGGTGCTACCCCTGCAATTGAGATTCTTAGTTTCTGCTTAGCAGATGCTGGAAATGCATTTCTTGTTCCCACACCATATTACCCTGGGTAATATTTCTCACCATTTTGACGATTTTCATTCTGGTAAGCTGCTATCCAACAAGGAAACTAATGTTTCTAAAAAAATCTTCAGTTTTGATAGGGATATAAAATGGCGAACTGGGGTGGAAATAATACATGTTCCATGCCGAAGTGCGGACAGCTTCAATTTAAGTATAGCTGCCCTCGATCGAGCATTTGACCAGGCAAAGAAACGCGGACTTAAAGTGTGTGGGATAGTAATATCAAACCCATCAAACCCTGTTGGCAATCTTATAAGTCGGGAAACACTTTAAAGCCTGCTAGTCTTTGCCAGAGAGAAAAACATCCATATTATCTCTAATGAACTATTGGCTGGTTCTAGTCATGGAAATGAAGAATTTGTGAGCATGGCAGAACTCCTTGACCTGGATGATTTTGACCGGAAAAGAGTTCATATAGTGTACGGGTTGTCAAAAGACCTTTCATATAGTGTACGGGTTGTCAAAAGACCTTTCTTCCAGGTTTTCGGGTTGGTGTTATCTACTCATATAATGAGGAGGTTTCGGCAGCTGCTAAAAAGTTGGCGAGGTTCTCATCTATTTCAGCTCCAGCCCAGTGTTTGCTCATCTCCATGCTATCTGATGCCAAATTTGTTCGAACATTAATTACCATCAACCGGGAGAGGCTTCGAAGTATGTATGCTCAATTTGTGACCGGATTAAAAAAACTGGGCGTCGAGTGCATAAAGAGTAGTGGGGGTTTCTACTGTTGGGCTGATATGAGCGGGTTAATCCGCTCTTACAGCAAGAAAGGAGAACTTGAGCTGTGGGACAAGTTGTTGAATACTGCTAAGGTGAATGTAACTCCAGGGTCTTCTTGTCATTGTATTGAACCTGGATGGTTCCGCTTCTGTTTTACTACATTGGCAGAGAAAGATATCCCTGTAGTCATGGATCGGATTCAGAAAGTTTGTGAAACCTGATAGTTGAATAGATGAAATTCTATTATTTTATTCTCCGACTTTAAATAATGTGCAGATTTGTTCTTGATTGGAAGCTCATATATTCGACACACTATAGTTCGAAAGTCATAGTACTCGACGTGAAAAGGACCAGTGCCGTATCCCAAGCTTGTCCAACACAAGTCCAGAACTTTGAGGCTCTTACAGTTTGAAATGCTTGTTGGGATTTCGCCACTCAAACTATTCGGAGCATCGACGAACTCTGATGTCCCACTACAGGCTTCGAACTCTGATGTGCCAACCCTGTGAATGAATCTCTGCTAAGATTGCTTAGAAGGAGAAGATTAAGAGTTTACACTGTATTTTCCACTACTGTCTCCATTCTCTCTGTTTCGTTTACCCACGTGATGGCCTGGATTCTGCATACTTTATTTAACTTGGTACTGTTGTTTTGTTTCATTGGGCTTAGTTCAAGGTTTGGATTAGAAAACATAGAAGAATGGATCCAACCTCGAGAGAGCAGTAAAGAAAAGCTGAAAAGTGAATATTATTTTAAATAATTAGAGCAGATTAACTTCACGTTAGTGAAAAAACTTACTAGCATGGCCCTGGACGTTGTCTGCATGCCTTTGCCTTTTGATACGTGTTGTTAATGCCCATTTGGCCGTCCTTCAGCTTCAAGCATTAGTGGCATACACAGTGCTCCGACTGGAAAAAAAACTGTTTAATGTCACTAAATAGTTTAATTTATGGTTTTCTATTTTTTTTCTTCAATCTAAATTAATATTTGATTAAATTTATTCTTTAAAAGTATATTTCGTTCTTAAAATTTATTCTTAAAAAGTATATAATTAAATTTGAATAAAAATATAAATAATTATATCTAATTTTTAAATTTTATAAGTATATTTTAACTTACGTTTCATTGGAAAACAACTCAATCTCCTTAAATTGATGATAGATTCTTCAAATTTTTTTATTCTTTCATCTCTATGGTTCACCGTTTGATAAGCTTGAAACTAGATTATGTTGGGTGACTCGTCATTTTTCCGTGGTTCATCATTCAGATTGATCGTCTGTCCACTGGAGTTATGTCATTTCAGTTTGTCCGTAAAATTTTTAACAATGAATACTAAAATAAAATAAAAATTAAACGTTAAATATGATTTAAACAAATTAAAAATTTAAATATTAAAATAGATTAAAATTAGTAATTTATTTAATAAAGGCATAATTTATCTCTAAAATATCATAAAGATGTGGTCCCACACCATTAGCTGTCAGATGATGGAACTTTTAACGTCACCAGAACGTCGGATTCAATCAAACAGCTCGGGATTCTGGAAGCCTGTCAAAATACCGTGTACCCTTTGCCACGCCGACATAAAAACCGTGGGTGCCGTTGAGACAAAACCAAACTCTATTTACTTTAAAGCTGGGAACCAAACGTCCCCGTTTTCGGTTTCGTATTCTGTTCTCTCATTCGTTTGTGTTGCAGTTAGTTTCCGAATTAAGCTTCTTCTGTCTCAAATTCCTTTTCTTTTTTTTTTATTGCTAGAATTTCCGAACTTGTTTTATACAACGAGAAAGAAACAACCTCCGATCATCAAATTAACGAGGTACGTATGTTTTACATTTCTTATTTTTCGATTTACACGTTCATGGATTGAAGAAATGTTTGGAAATTTTCCATTTATTATATTAATTCTATTTGACCCATAACTCTCGGTGACCGTTCGATTTATTCGACCCATTATCTTATTAAGATTTAACTGGATTCCTTGAGAACCATTCCGATTACTGGTGGAGTTTGAAAGACAAAATTACCCTGTATTTTATTACCACTTAAACTACGGTCCCGGGGATTTATTTGTCTTTCAATTCTTTAAACTTCCAAGTTCCTTTCGTGTCGGGCAAGCGTTTGATGAGATTACGCAATTTGTTTTCATTTACGGTAATACCCTTAGTAGGTCGGTATAGCCGGCTATAGAAAACGTATAGGGGGAGGGGTAGATTCGTTAATGTCTGAATCAATGATACAGATGTTTTAGGATTCGGAAGATAATCAGAATTTATATATTTTGATTCGAGGTTGGTTTAGGGTAATTCAACTTTGATCGCATCTAATCTCATCGTGAAAACCGAGAATCGAAAGAGATCTTAAACCAAACCCTGAGGATTTTCTCATCTTTGATTGTAGGAAAAAAACCATGGGTTCTGAACAGAATGAAGGAACTAGCTTTCCGCCGTCCGAGACGAACTTTTGCGCCAACGGCTGTGGGTTTTTCGGCACGGCGGCGAATATGAACCTTTGTTCCAAGTGTTATCGGTACCTCCGTGCCGGGGAGGAGCAAGCTGCGCAGGTGAAAGTTGCCGTGGAGAAGTCCCTCCGAGTCGAAACGAACAAGGAAGATGAGGTTGTGGAGACGTTGACGCCTGTTCTTGAGGTGTCTCGTGTGGGTTCATCTTCGACCGTGGTTGAGCAGCAAGCCGATGAAAAACCGAAAGAGCCGAAGTCGACGAACAGGTGCTTTGTCTGCAGAAAGAAAGTCGGATTGACCGGTTTTAAGTGCAGGTGTGAGAGTACATTCTGCGGCGAGCATCGGTACCCGGAGAAACACGAGTGCTCGTTTGATTTCAAGGGTGTTGGACGTGAGGCGATTGCGAAGGCGAATCCGAGCATCAAAGCCGACAAGGTGCGGAGGTTCTGAATCAAGCGTGGGGGCTTGGAGGCACGATTTAGTTTTTGTGGTTCTTGAATGGATTTGGAGAAATCGTTTCGATGTTGCTGCTAGTGTTTGGTTCCACAGTAGGAAACAGTTTATCAATGAATGATTAGTTTTCAGTTTTACTTCAAATGCTTCTGCCTTTTATCTTCTCGTCATATCTATGGTTCGGTTAATACTAAATTATCTAGCACATAATTAATCGAATTTTGAATTTTTTTCCTTCAAAAATCATTAATCAAATTGAATTATTGATTTTATTGATTAAAGTTAACAAAATTTGCTCCATCTTCTGAGTAAAGCTGTGGGCATTCAGGGGCTTCTGGGATCAGTTTTTTCTTCTCCTCGAGGTATCTGGAATGAGTTGAGGGAGGCTACTGGCAGTCTGGCACTCGGGTCATATTTCCAAGTGTTCTACCGTTGCTTGGATGGCTACTCTTGACCGGCTTCCCACAAAAACAGGAAATTAGAAATTACTTGTTCTTTGATTGTTGTTTTTCTAAGGAGGTGTGGAGTTGCATGTTGAGGCTCTGTTGTCAGCAATGTGGAGTGTTGGATTGGGACTGTGAATTAATTTGGGCTTGTCAATCTCTGAAGGGTACATCTTTGCTGTTCATTCTGTTGAAACTATCTTTGAACTGTTGCATTGCTGGTTTTTGTTTTGCCAGATTGTTGTGGTTGTATAGATTTTTGTTTGATTGTGTTGGAATACATAGTGCATAGTCATCTAAAAAACCTATGAAAGAAATATAACAACTCCTAAATATATTCTATTTTAGGGTGTTCAGAAAAAACCGTAACCGTTAACTAATATAATCATCATATTTAATATGTTAATTAATTGAACTGTTCAATTAAGTGAACTATTAAAAAAATAGTTAACAATTAAGATTACGGTTACAAATTTTTATAACCATTTATAAATTAAATTGATCGTTATATTTCTAATTTATTATATTTTTACACAAATAACTTACTATGACTTTTTATTATCTATGATTTTTATATATTTCTAATAAAATTTGTTTTATAAATAATTTAATATATTTTTTTTATTATTTCTTTGAAAAATATAGAAATATATTTAGACTAAAAATAATTATGTGTTTATTGTTAGATACTAAGATATTTACATCTCTCAATATCTTAGTATCTAACAATAAACACATAATTACGTTGGTCTAAGTATATTTCTATATTTTCAATGAATTAAAAAATAGAAAATGATAAAAATATATATTAAATTATTTATATACAAATTTTATTAGAAATACATAAAAATCATAAATAATAGAAAATTATATTAAGTTATTTGTGTAAAAATATAATAAATTTGAAATAACAGTGTAACAACAACAACAAAATTCTATTCCCATATGTAATGGGGTAAGGGGGAGGTAAGGTAGTAGGTTGCCCCCAACACCAGGTTGAGAGCAACTTCCGTGGGAGACCTCCGGCAGTCATAAAATTAAAAATAAAGATAAAATGTAATGCATGTATATATAAATAAATAATTACATAGTTGAACAGTTTCCATATGCGCGTCTGTAATGAGAAGTAATCCTAGCAAGTAACTCCCTGCGTAAAAAGCTCTGCATATAAACAGAAACGTAAGACCCGACTAAAATTAAAAAGAGAAAACATGAACAGAAAGATACACAGAAGTCAACGAGAGTAAGCAACGTGAAGGAATATAGTCAAATGAGTTAAAACCTAAACTAAGGCAACACTACTCCGCTACCCTAGTTTTAAGCCTTCATAAATTTCAATAACAGAAACGTATAAAAAGTAGAAGTCATGAAAATTACTACAAAGACATTAAAAGAAGACAGAGATGATTCACCCTATGGATGTGACCCGCACTACTCGGCTACCCTGGTCTTAAGTCTCCATATTTTTCTATTAGAGATCATGTCCTCGGTAAGGGCTAAATCCTTCAAATCAGATCTCAAGTAGTCTTCCCACTTCCGCCTTGGTCGTCCTCTCCTTCTGACACTGTCGACTATAATCGACTCTACCCTCCTGATCGCATCCGACGGTTGTCGCCTAAAGACATGCCCAAACCATCGTAGTATAGTGGGAAGAGACACTAAATTCTTTAAACAATGTAAATATTTGTTAAGTGCTACATTTTTTGTATCATGAATCATATAAAATTTTTGATAAATAATTGTAATATATTAACATGTAACTGAACAATTAATAACAGTTAAACGTAAGTAGGGATGGCAGTATGACCCGAACCCGACGAGGAAATCTGAAACCCGATCAAGTTCGGGTCGGGTATCGGGGATATTTTTCAGAGATTTTGTCGGGTTCGGGGCAAGGTATCCCCTCCCCGACCCACCCCGATTATATATATATATATATATATATATATATATAATATTTATATTAATTATATATATAATATTTTATATTTTTATATTAATTATATATAAAATATTTTCGAGTTCGATTTGGGTATAATATTTTGGGTCAGGTTCGAGGGCGGGGTAAAAAAAATCTCCGACGGGGCGCCCCGATAAAAAACCCGTCAGGGATCGGGTCGGGGTCGAGGATGGGGATTTATTTCGGGTTCGAGGACGGGGCGAACAAAACCCGTCCCGAACCCGACCCGTTGCAATTCCTAAACGTAAGCAGTTGTTTGTTTCATAACAGATAGGTTACGATAAAAAAATGACTATTATAACGGATCATTTAAGCTAAACGATACGATTAACAGTCCATGAACAACGTTACTCAACCCTCATATCTTTTAAATAATAAAATTTGATTAGAATTATATAAGTTAATAAAGTTTTCATAACCAATAATAAATTATTCTAGTGGGAAGAGGCGCTAAATTCTTTAAACAATGTCAGAAATAAGAATCTCGATATTTATGTATAGAGCAAACTAGGTTGAGAGTGTCACCTCTATAATGGGCCTGTGCAAAACTAGATCTAGATTACTTAGACAATAGATCAGATACTGTGATAAATTCAAAAAAAAAAGTTTTTATGCAGAATAAATGTTTTGAGGGTGGCTTTGTAAATTTCAACCACAAGGTAAAGATCTGCACTTCGGATTTGAAACCTGATTTTGGCTTCACATCTTCCATCTACCTCTATGCCTACTTCAACCTCAAAAAAAAATGTACTGATTTAATTAATTAACGAGGACTACAGATTACGTGATAAAATAATTTTATAAAATTTTAAAAATAAAAATGTGAGTTTTTTACGCACCAATACCTTCAATGAATAACATGAACAAATTTATTTTTTTTAAATTATATGATCGCGTGTCACAATTTTATTCGTTAAAGTTTCATAAAAGTTTACACTATGATATATTAAATATACAAATAATTCAAGTGAATTAAAACAAAAATAATTCAAAGCATCCTACTCTTTTTTCCTTCTAGTGGGCCAGGGATCTCCCAAGACCTAAGCTATCTTTAGCTTTAATTTTGTCCCCTTTCCCCTACCTTTTTGAAGTCCAGAACAAGAGGGTAGTTCTGCGGTGCGGCGCCTAAAAAACGGCTAATATACGGCGTGACCGGTAAAATAAGTGATCGATTAAAATTTAGACCGGTTATGTTATATTATTTAACCGAAAATATTATAAAGTACAATAACATACTAGGTAACGCTTATATAATGTAATAGGTAGGCTTATATTTACCTATTTTATAAGTAAACCGGTATATTTATACTGATAGCATTGCAAATTTACCTATTACATTATAATATGTTGAAAGTGTCCATACTTTTTATAAAAAGGATCGATAATTTTTTTAAAGTTATGTAATTTATGTTTCAATTTTTTTTAATAGTGTTTCATGTTTTTCACCTACAATATTAATTTAATAATTTCATTTGCACAAAAAATTATTTGATTGTTTTGATATTTTATAAAATAATATTTAGAATTTAAATTTAACAATATTAACCAAAGATAATAATAAATATGTAATATATATGTTTATTGTTTTTAATTTAATAATAATATATATCGTAATGTAAAAAATAAATCATTAGACGCCTATAATTACTAAATTAATATCTTAAAACTCACTCAAAAGATAACCTTAAATTAATGTTTTCCACAGTGAAAAAAGTATGGACACTTTTATAAAAAGGATAGATACTTTACAACTACCTATTACATTATATAAACGATACCTATTACATTATATAAGCGCTACCTATTACATCATATTTTTACCTATTATATTGAAAGTGTCCATACTTTTTATAAAAAGGATCGACACTTTTTTTTAAAGTTATGTAATTTATGTTTCAATTTTTTTTAATAGTGTTTTATGTTTTCCACCTACAATATTAATTTAATAATTTCATTTACACAAAAAATTATTTGATTGTTTTGATATTTTATAAAATAATATTTAGAATTTAAATTTAACAATATTAACCAAAGATAATAATAAATATGTAATATATATGTTTATTGTTTTTAATTTAATAATAATATATATCGTAATGTAAAAAATAAATCATTAGACGCCTATAATTACTAAATTAATATCTTAAAACTCACTCAAAAGATAACCTTAAATTAATGTTTTCCACAGTGAAAAAAATATGGACACTTTTATAAAAATGATAGATACTTTACAACTACCTATTACATTATATAAATGATACCTATTACATTATATAAGCGCTACCTATTACATCATATTTTTACCTATTATATTGAAAGTGTCCATACTTTTTATAAAAAGGATCGATACTTTTTTTAAAGTTATGTAATTTATGTTTCAATTTTTTTTAATAGTGTTTTATGTTTTCCACCTACAATATTAATTTAATAATTTCATTTACACAAAAAATTATTTGTTTTTTTTGATATTTTATAAAATAATATTTAGAATTTAAATTTAACAATATTAACCAAAGAAAATAATAAATATGTAATATAAATGTTTATTGTTTTTAATTTAATAATAATATATATCGTAACGTAAAAAATAAATCATTAGACGCCTATAATTACTAAATTAATATCTTAAAACTCACTCAAAAGATAACCTTAAATTAATGTTTTCCACAGTGAAAAAAGTATGGACACTTTTATAAAAAGGATAGATACTTTACAACTACCTATTACATTATATAAACG